CCTAGTAGTGGGGGCTATGGAGGCGGACCATAACTCCTGAATCACTGGTTCGAATTCCACATTACGGATGTTGGTAAGGGTACCTTGCACGGGAAACGGGCTGCGTAGGGTGCCAGTCGTCGGAATCGGGCTATCTGCAATCGAGACAGAGAATCAGCAATATTGTTAAGATGACCAGGGACATGTTTAGACAACACGGTAAAGTTAAATGTACAGGCACACAAGGTTAGTCGACTAACGGCATGATGTGAGGAGACTTGGACCTTCCTTTACTTAGAATAGCCACGGTGGCAGCATTGTCACACATGAAAACGATACGTTGGCCTACCCACAAGTGGCCCCAAATTAAGGCTGCAACTACAATCGGGTACAGTTCTTGAAAGGCTATGGATAGTTCATTATTGTTTGCGTATGGGTTGTCTAAATCGTGCGGCCATGTTTCAGCAAACCATAATCCTCTGAAATAACCACCATACCCGAGAGTTCCAGAGGCGTCTGTGTACATGCAGGCATATCTCGTCTGAAGTAACCACTTTGTTGTTATAGAAGACAGAGACGCCGTTCCAGTTGGATAGGAAATAAATCCACATCTTGATGTCTTCCCTACATTCGTTATTGAGTTTCACGTAGTAATGTAGCGCCTTGACAGTGGTAGACAAAGTGATTAATTGCGACACGAAAGAACGACCTTGAATCACGACCCGGCTGGCAAAGTTTAGATGTCCTAAGAGTTGGAGCAGTTCTCTCTTAGTGCACGAGTGTCGTTGTTGAAATGACTGTAATGAACTAATAATTCTGTCCAGTTTATCCTCAGGTAACCTGGCCTCCATATTTTCAGAGTCGAGCACTATACCTAGGTATTCCATCACCGTATTTGGTCCACTTGTCATGTGTTTAGCCATAGGGATACCTAGTCTGTTGAAAATGTGAAGTCGTCATCTCCGTATATCAAACTCAAACCCATCGGGTCCATGTCTAAAATTGGTATCGTAATGCGTGGTACCACCGGTACGTTCTGTACCAAATTATCCCCAGAACCTCGATGTTGAAGGGCCATGTTCCGCTCTCCGCACTTGTCAGGATGTTCGAACGTGATAAAATCATCGAGCAGGTGGAGGATATGTTCCACACCATAACAATTTTCAGCTATCCAACATACTGCTTGAGATAGAGTGTCAAATATTTTTGGACTAGATCTGCACACAAATGCGAGTTTGTTATAGAAATAATAGCTGCCGTTCCATTTGATGCAAAACATGTGCCACTGAGTTGGTACCACTGGTATGATCTTAAAGGCGTCCGAAATGTCTGTTTTACACATAGTAGTCCCTTTTCCTAATGTTTGTAATTTCTGGATTGCATCATCTACACGAACATATGTTAGAGAGCATGAATCTTTGTCTATTAATTCGTTTACTCTTGGATGCTGGTCATCTTCATGAGGCGCAGATAAGTCTACAATAAGTCGTGTTTTTCCGGAATATTTCCCAAATGAGACCCCTATAGGGCTTACTCTGTATGGCTCAAACAGCAATTGTTGAAAAGGTCCTTCCAAAAAAAACCTCACTCAATTCATTTTGTACTAGCATGTCTACAACTTCTGGTTGTGTGGTAGCTGAAAGAAGGTTCTTACATTCTTTGGTTTGAAGTTGAGTATGTGATACAAGTGTATCAAAGCCTGCTGACAAACCCTGACACAAATAATCGACAAATGTCTGATCCGGGTGTAATTTCAAATCGTCCCTAAGTTTTTCGATATTTACTGGTGTATAAACCGTGTTCTCCAGTCATTGTTGCGGAGCTCCTTGTTTCGAACGTTGTCCTTGAATGCTGGACGCATTCCTACATGTATCCGCACCGTGACTAGGTGATTTACACAAGGTACAGGCATGGAAAAAATAGCAGGAGTCTCCTCGAGGGCATTTCCCTGTGTTGTAATTGTTACACACTTCTTTTCCATTCACTTTTATTTTCTGACGACCATGTTTGTCTAGCTCCTTACTCGGACCTTGTTGAGGACGGCCATTACCACTGGCACTGTACATGTGCTTCCTTTGGCGTTGTTGTGGACAAAAGGGGTAGTGTGTGATGTCAAGTTGCATAGTTGACAGGAATTTACCCTGGTGTTGCCCATTATCATTGTTAACATGCTGCTGTCTTTGATGGCCCAGTCTACTTTGGTGTTGTTATCTTTAAGGGCTGCCGCTGCCCTTGCCGAAAATTGACAGTGGTAATCATAGAACTTTTGGCCGTAAACATTGGCTATGTCTATTATGTTGGCCTCGTATCTATCAAGTTCCACTCTTCGTTTTGGGAATTTCCTACACATCGTCCTCTTATATTTCCCGAACGCGGTGATAAACTCGCTGAGTGTAAGGGATTTGTTGAGTCTGGGATCTTCTGATTCGTTTAGATTGTTCAAATTAATGTGGATCGAGGAGTCTTCGTTATACACGTTGGCTTCCCTATTGTCTGGCTTAGGCATCAACAAATTGGCCAAGTTAACATCATGTCCCTCCCAAATGCGTTTCTTTAACTTCTCTGATATGACGTCTACATGGGGGAGACACTCTGAAGGAACCCCAAATTCTGAATGAGGGAGACGGTACCCACCTGAAATCGTGTTTGTTCTCGTTTCCTCAGTCTCATACTGCATCGCATTGTAAGCCGTGTTGAGTGTGTTCTCCCGGGTAGTCGGCGTGGAATTAGTAGAATTTCTCCCTACGATACTGAGCACGGTTTGCTGTAGCATGGTCTGCATAGTAGTGAGAAGGCTTCTTATGGTCTCACCGTCCGGATTCATCGGGGCCGCCATGTTTGTTGTTGATGGCGTAGAAATATATCCATCAGTGCGGTCTGTGATGCGGTCTGCGTCAACCGATTCACCACTGTCTGGGAAAATATCTGCCGAGTCCGCGGAGTCAAATAGTTCTGTCTCACTGACGATATTCCGATTTCCCGACCTCGTTGACGCGTTTCCTATAAGTTGTTCTTCATCACGATAATCAACAGTTTCTTCCGTGTTTACAACGGTATCTTGTAGCCTGCTTGTAGGTCTACTGGTTTCAACTCAGCGCGGGTGCCTGGTAACCCTGTTGACAGAATCTCGACGGCTCCTTCCGAAGTTCTCCAAGTAGATCGCCTTCAGTGTATTCTTGGTTAAAGTCGGAGGCACGGCTATGTTTATCTTAGAAAGTTCATCCCTTAACTTTGATACTGTCCAGTTGGCGGGATTCATAGAGTCCCATGGTTCCTTTCGAGTTGATGATCTCCCTCTGCCCCTGGGTCTGGACTCTTCCTCGACATTTTCTTACCTTTCACCGTGGATATGTTAAGCCCCTGTTTCACACAAACCATCACGGCCTTGTGTTCTGTAGTACAGTCTACTGTAAAACTGTCATATTAGCTTACCGTATTCTATTTACGTCTGAAAGACAGTGTATTGGTTACAAACTTGACACTGTTGAATTTTTTATCGCCCAACTTACAAGGCTAAACAGAACAACCTGTCTTTTTCTGTGCGCGTACCTGAATGACAAAAAAGTGAGCTGGCACGAGTTGTCATGCCTTTTATAGGTGACCTCTGGGTGCAGGGGTCATGCACGCTAAGGGTGTTTTGACCTTTGAAGGTCAGTTGCGCACCTAATAGGTGTCATGTATGCAAATTAACCAGACAAGCCGTAGGGCTTGAAATGTAGGAGAATTTGAATACACCCCGCTTTGTACTAGCTAGCTAATTAGCTGGATTTGTAATGTGTCAGCTCACAGGTTCCTGTATCTGGACAGATTAATCTGACTCTGAGCCAACCAGTCTTTTCTCTTACTCCTTAACATCATCTGCTTGGAGGAGAAGCAGCAAACATCAAACTTCAAGTCTAGTTTACTTGGTCTTGGGGAGGGCGTGAGGTTAGGAAAATATAAATACAGGCATGTTTACCTCACTAGGAGGAACTTTTTGTTTCTTGTTTGATATGGGTGTTGATGTTTTTGCTGGTGGATCCAGGTCACTATCACTGCCATCCTGTAAAAATTATAAATATACATCAGAGGTTGTGTAACATTTAAGGCCTGTTCGAGAAATAAACGCATTAGGGTGTGCATAGGCACTTGCTTATTACCCCACCATGAATAAAACTTTAAATGATGTGCCTTCCAACTTCTGCATGTTCATTTCTGAGAGTGCTAAACTTACAAGAGAGGTCTTAGAAATTACATTGTATATCTTACTCTTTACTCTTAAATTATAAACTATTTACAAATTTTGAAACACCATAAGCATACTTGTACAAAAGAAAGTCCTTTTAATACTTATATATATATAAATAAAACAGAACACGAAGACTAGTATAATCGGCTAGCGATATATATACCTCATTTGAGCACTCTGCTTCTGTGTCACTGTCCATGTTCATGGGGAGACTTCTAAAGATATAAAATAATACATGTAGGTTTTACAAAAAACTGAAATTATTACCACAGGCCTCGGTGTTGGCCGTCCTTTCCTTGACTTTAATTTCTTGATTACTGGTAAATCAAGTTCCCCGGCATCTGATGTATCAGACTCACTATTCTGCTTAGGTCTCTTCTGTTTCTAAACAAAAATGTAATAATAAATTGGCAGAATAAATACCTGTATATATTGACTAGGTTAGCTCAACAAAACAAGAAACAGAATAGCAAAATTGTGTTTTAAAACTAATACAAAAAGAGGTTGGTGGTCTCAAGATTCATAAAAAATTATCTTTTTTCCAAATTGAAACAAAAATAATAAATATATAACGTTTTAATTGTACCAACCTCTATTTGTTACCTACCCTGGCTGAAGATATGCTATCTCCTTCATTCATCGTACTCATGGTACTTCTTGGACTTTGCTGGAAAAAAAAATCATAACGTATATAAATAGAATTCTTAATTTGATATGGCACAGTACCATGGTCACTATACTGTCTGGTATTCTGTACTTGTGATTTTGCCAAGTGAGAATTTAAAGTAAATATCCTTTCTAAATATCAATGAGTTATAAATAAGGGATTAAGAGCTATTCACAATATTTCTCCTTTACAAAATGCCACTGCATGTCTGAAACGGAGTAAATAACTAAAAGAAAAAATAATAAAAACAACACACCAACATTTTTTTTTTAGACAAAATGTGTGGTAGGGATTCTGTACAAGAACTTCATTTTATATAGAAAATTTCAAAATGGCCAACTTAGTGTACCATTTGGAAGCAGATTTTACAATTCAATCCTTATATAAATCAAAATACAATTTAGTGGGTGATGAAGTCGATGAAACAGTGTCCAATGCCCCTCCCATCAAATTATTTCTGGAATAGCCTGATGATTTGTATGTTTTCTTCAACCAAAGACATTTTTCAAAGACTTCAGTCTATAAAATCAAACCTTAATTTCCCACACTTGAAGAGATAGAATATATGTAATGGAAATTACTTCATAGCTCAAACTTCATGGCATCTTCTTCTGTTAAAGAGAGGGATTCTTGCCAAAGTAAGGATGGCAGCTTTCTTGAGGTTTGAGAAGGACGTGTTGTCCAACTGTAGATCGTTGATTTCTCCTTGAAGGAAAGATGTCAATTTCTTCACATCCTCAGGAAGCGGAGAAACTGTCGAAAGACCTTTCTGCTAGTAGTGATCTTGCTAATTTTGCTACACACCAACCCCATTTGATCTCCATTAACCTCCTGAACTCTTCTGCTTCTTTCATCTTCCCTTCATCGATTCATTACGATTGTGCCAATTTTTGCAGACATGTTCCTCCATATCCCCAACAACAGAGTGTGACCTCCTTAGCAGGTAAATCTCTTTTTTGGCTTTTAAGACTAACCAATTTTACTAACAGAGGACCCTGTGGAAGATTAGCTTTGCTAAACAGGTTTTGTATCAATAAATAAAGTTTATTATTATTATTATTATGATCATGAGCTGCTTTGAGACAAAGCTTGGTGATAAGCTTTTTCCGTGATTTTTCATCTTTCTCTTGTTTTATCATCTTGACCTCATCTTCTTGTTCATGGCCTTTTGTTAACCCTAATGGTGCTGAATTGTTCCATATGGTGATACACCTAGTGCTGTTTTTTGTTTTTTTGTTTTTTTTAAATTCAGTAAAAAAAAAAATATGTTTAAATGTTCTTTAGAATTGGATCTAAGCCATTGAAGTCATTTTGTAACCGAGATATACCTAAAACTTGTATATTTAGGCCATTTATACTTACCAGTTGTACGTGTTACTGATGTTTTACAATTTGCATAAAAGCAGGCAAAATCAAATTTTCTCTATTCTCACTGTAACTTGCAAAATTATATCTAAATGGTGTTGATATAATCTGCAAGTGATGAGATAGTATCTATCATAGATATAATTACATATTAGACAGGTTGTATAAAGATATTTGGTAAGTTTTCAGTATCATGTAGGGGAGATAACTCTTCATTGTGGAAATTCAAATTTTCATAAATTCATATACTAATACCACTTATAAAACATACCTGCAGAAAATAATCTTTATACTCCATATCCTTTAGTTCCAAATAAGTGAAAACGAAGTCTGTCTAATCATAACCGTACAAGTCTAATATTGTCCATCTAAACAATGAGAGTTATAGTGAAATGGTAAAATATATACACATCAAATTTGACATTAATCCTCGGTTTGGGCTTGTACTCCTAATTTTAACCATTTGTAGGCTAAAATATATTCTGATTTTGTGTAATACAACTGAAAGCAGGGCTCGATACACAATGGTACACAACACTGCTGGCACTGAAAGCAGGTTTCGTGTCCTGTCCTTTTTGGAGGTGTGATGCCTGGATTGGACGATTTAAAGATGTCAGCTAAAGCTGGCCCACACACAATGCACTGTCTCCTGCTATGAGCTCTTTTGTTTGTTGATGGTAAATGGCCAAGGAAATGCCTTGCTGTTAATCTTAGAAGATTCTCCGCAGATTTCATCTTTCTTCCTTTTTCACCCATTCTTGGAACTTCAGCAGCTTCAACCATTTGAGGCACAAGCTCTCTCCTTAATACTCTATGCTTAACACTGCTAGACCAAGCATATGGAAAAACACTTTCTTCCACCACTTTAAGGTCCGCCGGTCAAAACCTCCATAGGCAACCATCTGGTCACAGCGGTCAACAGCGCCCATGTGACGGTTATATGTAAGGACACTGTCTGGCTTACGAATGTGGTTGCCTTCATGATCTCGTTTCCCTGTGTCAACCATGCTACCTGTTTTAAAGCAGGGTAAAAGTATTGAAGGCGGATATGCAAATGGTTTCCAGATGTAGTTAACTTAAATAACAGTTTTGAATCTAGTTGCGAAACGATTCACTGATAAATGTTTGTAAAATTTATTGTTTTATGTTCATAAAATAAGTTCATACTTATTTAACCATATAAGCAGGGATTTCCATCTGTGAAGACTTTAATTAACCTGAAGTTTATATAATACTGTACTGCACAGTGTATCATATATGCATTATTTAAACACTGCAAGGTTACATATCATGTATGCATAAATGTACATCTTAAAACTGACTTAAACACAATTTTGATGCTTCTACCTTCATGTATTGTAGTAAGGAGACAGACATCCTTCTTATCAGCATATTTCACGCCAACAAGAGTGCCATTGTTGACAACAAATATCTCCCCTTTAGCAGGTTTTGCAGATTTCAGACTCTGTGGAATACCGTCTGTTACTTCGCACAGTTCCACATGCAAGTGTTGCATTTAGATACAAGTTATGAAATGTATGAGGACTGCTGAAATAATTGTCCATGTATAAGTGGTAGCCTTTATTCAAATATGGACTGACAAGGCGCATCACTAAGTCATAGGTAAGTCCAAATGTGCTTTGTGATACCAGCTGCCGCCCTCCACGTCCAGTATAGAGTTCAAGTCTGCAACAGTATCCATTGCTTGAATCACAAAGCATGTATACTTTAAGTGCGGAATGTATACTTGGAAATTAAGGTTTCCCCTCCAAGGAATCATTCCTTCATCAACTGCAATATGTTGTCCAGGACAATACACTCGTTGAATTTTGTTCGAATGTCTTGATATGGCTTTCCCAACTTCTGTTATGAGGAATAACCCACTTGTCCACGTTGATGGGCCTCTGTGTTGTCAGACAGATGTAAAAGTAGCATTGATAACTGGATCTGTTGACCAATAATCCTGTATGTTTGCTTGCTTAACAAGTCCCATAGCTATAGTCATTGCCATGAATGCTTTCATTTCAGCAACTGAAACAGGAGTCCATTTTCTTATTCTGGAATGCAACAGCAGATTGGGATGACTTTGAAGATTTTGTGTTGCATATCTGTTTGTCTCTATCACAATTATATCGATTACATCATGAGTTACAATACTTTGAAAATAGTCTAAGTAGCTCAAGTCATCGTGCTCATTTTCTGGTAAATGTATCTCTGCATTCCCAATGAAAGTGAAAGTAGATGGAGTGTGGGTACCTTCACGCCAACTTTCCTCCGCAAAAACATCATTGTCAGCTGTTTCATTCTCACAGTCGTCAGAATCGAACCCTTCAAAATCGTCACTATCATCATCGACAAATACTTCTTCAAAATTATCTCTAAATTCAGGCAAAATGTTTTCTAGTTCAGCAATATTGTCGTTGTCCGCCATGTTGTTTATATTGATAACGCGAAGGAAGCTGTGTACAACTAGACTAACATAGCCGTACAGCAAATGTTTATAATTACAAAATCCCCCAAACTACTATGTAGATATAAAAAACAATCTGTATCCAGAATTCAACCATTTACTTCAACAAACAATGCCTCTAGAGTCAACAACAGGCTAAAAAGCCAACCTTACTATGAACAGAGGACGTCTGTTATTTTACGATCACCACATGACGAAGTTTGAAATTCCCGTGCACAACGCATGTGTATGTAAATATTAACTCATTTTACACCTCAAAAATATACAGAAACACATAAAAAATAAACTTTCTTCATGTTTCAATCATTTAATTTAACTTTCGATACTTTTAAGTTTGATTCCTGAGGTCGACTCAGTCATTGCTGTTTGTTTCACGTGACGAAATGGGGATTCCCGTGCCACTTGAAAGAAGCTGTGGGTAACGTAAAGCAGTAAGCATTTCGTATTATTGATGCATTTTTACAACAAAAGAAAACAGAATCAAAAACAAAAACACAAGCTATTTTCACGTTTCAGTAATTTATTTTATCGATCAAATCATGCAAAATTCAATTAAAGAGCCCAAACCACTCACTAACTTGTTTATAAATATCACATGACAGGGTGTAGGGAATTATCAAATGAAAACATCAGTTTTCATGTTTTAACCCTTAGAGTGCTATATATATATATAGTATCTGGTACCAACACTGCTGAATTAATTATGGAAATCAATTAAAATCTACTTGCTATTTTCAGAGAGTCACAGTTTAGAAACCAGTCAAGATTCCGTCATAAAAGTAATATATGAAATTATCTTTGACTCAAGTACTTTACTTTGATCAACATCTCGAACCATTTTGGTCATATTTTTTTTACCTGTACAGGTAAATACAGGTGAAAAACTTAAATACTAAATAATAATGTGAATTTATTTCTTCATGTGGTTTATCATTGTATAATACTCAAAATCAATTAGTAGTTGATGATTCTATTTTTTTAATTCTTAAAGTGCGATAAAAGCTCGTTAACCTTCACAGGTAAGCTTTCTAATTAATGTATGCTGTTACCACAGTTACTCTCCTTTCTATTACTTTCATCTACCAATCAACCTACCAAAGGTAAACCTAGCTATACATGTATAATGTATATGTCATTATGCGAGTCTTTATAAACAATAACAAACACAGATTTTTAAG